AGTTGGGCAATTCCCTGGCAGTGAAGTCGGCGAATGAGGAGTTCAGCTTATGCGCCATGGTGAGAGAGTCGGCGGCATAGAAGGCAGCCTTGCGGAGATGCCTCTCGCGTTTCGAAGAAGCACTGTTGGGAAGACCATTGCCACTGTTTCCAGGGCTGATTTGGTCCTGCGAGTTCATTTGACCCGGAGAAGCCGTCTGACTTAGGTCCATAGAAGAGGACCGTTCAGGTGAATCTTCCGTTTGACCTACAACATCAACACCTCTGGCCAACTCATTTGCCATGCCGTCAAAGTCACGTTGCCACAGAAGCTCTTTTGCTCGACCAAGATTTACGAAAAGCCTCACATAGGCAAGGTCCAGCAGCGGTATGCAATCAGCAGACAAAGGCCCAAAGGGACTCGGTCGCTCGATGCTGTGGTTTGGATTGGCTCTCCAAGCAACTTGCCAAGCCTTGAGAGCAGGCTCGACTTGCGCATGCATAGCTTCTGTCTCATGGGCTTTCCACAAGCGACCATTGTGTCTATTCCTCGTCTCCCAAATATATACGTGCATCGCGTTTATCAGCACGTAGCAACCGAAACTGCTAGGCCGAATATCGCTCTCGGAAAGGGTATTGACAGTTTGGCCTCCTGAAAAGGCATTTGGGTAGGCATTGCGCATTCTCGAGGTTGATTGTCGTGTACTAGCTTCAAGGAGGTATGTCATTGCGGTAATGAAGGACAAGCCCCGAGTTTGCGCAAGCATCGGCCCTCCCATTGCTACCCATGCTTGAGGGTTGTCGACGGACCAGAGATCCTCTTCACAAGGGAGATCCAGATGGATCTCCGAGTTCAGAATCCGAGGTGAGTGTGCGTATGCCGAAACGAGCAAGCTCGACATTGAGAAGATGGCGAAGTAGGTTCGCTTGCGCTCTTCAGCCTTCTTCCATTGTATCCATTGTGTGTGCTCATCTATAGTATCCTTTTGTTGATCAAGAGACGGGTTCGAATCATCTGACATGTTGAAATCCCCATTGGTATTACTTGGGGGGCTGGGCATAGTCTGCTCCGGAGGAGTGGGCTTGTCCAAGCCTGCAGCTTTTGCTAGACTCACAAGGGCCGCACAATGTGTGCTTGCGACCTCTGCAGCCTGTCGGTCGCCACAGTTGAGTCCGAAAATGAGATTGAGTAGCATGGCCTGGACCAGCCACAAGGGTGGTTTGTTGATGTTATCATTGGCAGCACTAGGTCCGTTGACAGCGGATAGGCCGGCTTTGCGGCGCTCGTCAAGATAGAAGAGAATCAGCTTCTTTGCTGCCTCGAACAAGTCTTTGGCTACGTTTTGCTCAAATTCGTAGAGGGCGCCAATTGCGGCCATTGCAAGAATCAAACAACCACCTCCCCCAACCATGGTGTCTTGGTTGAATGTGCCAGCAGTGCGGAGCTGATATGTGTACGCTGGGGTATCGAAAGATAGTGTTGGAATATGTAGAAAAGGCATATGGGGATGGAAGTATTGTATGTAGGCGTTCACGTAGCGCTGGATGTCGAAAGTACTGGGCAGTAGGCCAGCCAGATTTGAATGCTTGTTACTCCCGTTCGAGGACAGAGGAGAGCTGATGGCTGGCTGCGAGAACCTTCGTTGAGGTATTTGGCCGTAGCCCATGGCTTGACTCAAGTTGTGCATCAAAGCTTGCCTTGTAGACTCTGTGATTGTTTCAGTGGAAAATGAGGATACGGAGCTGTGCCCTGCGCTGCCATTGATAGAGGATGATGATATGCTGTTGGCATCAGAAGCGAATGTCATGGGCGTCTGAAAATACTGGTTCGGCATACCGGGTATTCCAGCTGAAGGGCTCATGGCCGCTAAAGGAGGTGGTGTAGAGGTGTAGAAATCATTCTGAACACCCTGATCGCCAAGTTCCTGTGATGTGCCAGTGTTCATCATGAGCTCAGGAAAGACTGGAGCCATGGCGTCGAGAGAGAAGGCTGTGGTGTCAATGCTAGTATGCGTCACCAGGGGGTTGTGCCACATGGCTGCCGAGTTTGGCTGGCTGGAGCCATCTAGCATCATGTCATGGAAGGCACCTTGGCTCGCAGTACTTATCGCTGATGGTGATGAGCCATCCAGTGCCGACTCGTTTGCCCCCGAAAACATCATGGAATTGTCCATACCCATGCCCCAGCCAAAATCGTCCTCCTCGATCGGGTTGTTCCCAGCGAAGGGGTTTGCAAATCTTTTAAAGGGTGATGCGGGGATTCCGACACTGGCATTAAAATGATGTAACTGGTTGGGGTTAATGGTAGAGGAGGTCGATGTTCCAAAGAATTTTTCAAGTTCACGGTCATCAGGTCCAGTCATGCCCGGGATTGGAGCTGTGCGAAGACCTCCCCCCATGCCAAATCCAACATGGGTGTCCAGCCTCGGCAGAGGCTGAGCTTGTCCGTGGTTGCCCATGGACGTGGACATGCCCCGGTAGTCAAACTGACTGATACCAGAAAGGCTCGAGTGATGTGAGTGACCAGGAACACCCCCCCTGTTTGCCGACACCGAAGATGCTAGGAAGCTGCTGAACGAGTTGGGATCGATGTGACTGATGGTATTGGCGCGCGGCCTCATGGTCTTGGCGACGGCGCCACCAGCATTGCTCGACACTGAGTTTTTGCGTACTCGGGCAGTGGCGTTGGTTGGGAGGCCCGTCGTGCTTTCCCTACGTCCAGTGCGGGGGCGGGCAGAAGTCGCGCCCTGCTGGTGGAGCTTTTGTTGATGGCGCAGGAGCAGGTCGCGCCGTGCAAAGCATCTTGTGCATTGCGGGCACTCGAATGGCTTTTCTTTTGTATGCGATCGCTCGTGTCGCTTCAAATGTTCTAGTCGCGCAAAGGAACGCGTGCATGTTGTGCAGATGTGAGGCCGGGGCTTGTCGTTCTTGGGAGGAGGAAACGAGTGGACGGTGGGCGGGGAGGCTTCGGGCTTCACGGTGGATGCGGAAGCTGTAATTAGCAGTTGCGGTTAGCTCTCTGCGGCGTAGAACCTGTATACGTTTTGTACTAACAATTACTGCTGTTGCCAGAGCTATTGGAATCATCGCTCGGCGTGTTCGTGGGGCCCGGCAGGCTCGTGCTCTCGACGTTGGTCATGGTCGTTTCGTGTATGGGGCTGGTACGACCGAGCAACACAATGGCTCACCACAGCACAGTTGTTCCGGCAAGCTTAAGGGTATGCAGTTAGTACGCTGAGTAGGCCAGTACCAACTCAACGTGTCTCAAAGCCAGGTTTGAGTGCTAATACAACGGTGACCGAAGCTGAGTGGAGCTCGTGGAGCTCGTGTGGGCGGCACGGTCGCCGACTAACTAGACTGACAGCTTGCAAACACGACGGCTGCAAGTAGGCAGGAAGATCAGCAGACGGTACATGAAGGCAACGGAGCAGATGCAATGTACCTCGACAGACTTCCGGCAAGACACGGAATGTGGACGAGCTACTTAGAGCTCTGAGACACAAAGGAGAAGAAGACGAGTGATGGCAGGAAAGCCAGTTACAAACTTGAGGTATGCCGGTATAGAAGTGGACCTTGGGGATAGCAATATACGCGGACAGTCAAGGGCCAATTGCGAGAACAGGAGAGAGTGAGAGAGAGGAAACCGTCGACGATGGTGGGGGAAGAGTGGTTGGAGTAACGGGGCGCAAGCAGAGCAAGGCTAAGTTGGCCGAAAAGAAGATGCAAGGAGGCGATGGATTGGGTGGAGCTTGGCCGGTCCGTACATAGGTCGGCTGTGGAGGAGTAAGGCGGCTGGACGTGGAGGAGGAGGAGGTGGTGGTGGTGGTGGTGTGAGTTGACGGCGGAGCAAAGAAGGGCGGCGGCGCTGGCAAGGGACAGTGGGCAAGGGCGAAAGTGGTAGCTGTTGTGCACGAGGGTCCAGCGTTGATGTAAGCGTGCGTGAGAGAGAGAGAGGGCTCGCAGAGGACAGAGGGCTGGAGGGCGCGCAGGCGGGTTTGTGCTGGTAGGGCCCAAAAGGCTAGATTACAACGCAGACACAAGCTTGGGACCCGACGAGAGCAATTGGGCGAGCTGGGGGCGATTGGCCGGGCGCGGGTGACAGGTAGAGGCGCCGAGTCTGGGGAATTGAGCACAGGCCAGCGTTCGTGGGACGGGGGGCCAAGGGGGGAGGGGGAAGGGGGGGGTAAAATTGACGAGGAAGGAACGAAGGCGAGGGTGACGGCGAGGTTGCAAGAAGGGGACAGCAGGCCGTGCAATGTCACTTGGGAGGGCTGGAAGCTATGGGCGGCGGCGGCAGCAACGAGGCAGGCGGCATTATAGTACAGTAGGCCGTGGTAAGCAGAAGCGCAGAGGGTACGGCGCGCGCAGGCTAAGCGGGCAGCGTGTTATGCCAGTGGCCAGCGGCGCCAGGAGGTCGTTGGACGGGCCCTGCAAGCATCAGGGCTCATACATACAGTACAGTACATATGCAGTGGATCCCCCAGCAAACGGCGTTTCTGCCGCAGGGGCCTGGTCCGGAGTGCCTCCGCCGCCCACTCGTACAGCCTCCTGCTGTCTCCTGCCCGCCTCGATGGGCAGTGATGTGCGGACGCGATCAGCAGCACGGCCTCGATAAGTCGCCTTTTTGTCCTGCCGCTTGGCACCTCGAACAGCATGCATGGCCTGCGCCGCGGGTCGTCCACTGCTGCGGGCTCGGTTCGGATGTATGTATTCGATATATATATATTTATTGTAAGTAACTATGCATGTACGTATCTCGCTGGAAGCATCTACGTATGTATGTACGTAGTATGTACTGTGAGTATATATGCTGTATGTAGCATGTATGTATCGCGGTGGAGTAAGTAATGTACGTAGTACCCTCGCTCGGATTCATCTCGCCTGCGACGAAGAATAAATTGGCCGCGTCCTACCAGAGGCCGGCGGGATACTGGCCATGGCCTGTACATGTGTAGCAGCATCGGTGTCTGAGGGCAGCCAGACCAGTCTTGTGCTGGGAGTTGCCTGCTGGCCGAAAAACCGATGCTGAGATGCGAGTTTCAAGAGCCTGTCACCGAGCCAGGCGGGCGACGGGTCTTGCATATACGCGACCCACGTCTCTGCTGCCGTCAAGCGCCTAGCCATGGCGACGGGCAGCGACCTGACAGCACGCTACACTGGGTGACGCCAGCAGTCGAGGGCTGGGGGTGTGCGTGTGTGCAATACGGACAGCCGCGTAGGCTGTCATCGGTGAGACGTGGCTGCGACTGCGACTGCGACTACGACTCCCGCACTCTTCCCCAGGAATTCGAGGTCAAGCCTGCAGCGCTCGGACGACGGCAGCGATTTGCACTAACTCTATCCGGCAACATCTGGGGTAAAGTGGCCGCTAGCGCCGCCACTAGTCGCTCGCATGGGTCCCATGGGCCGCCTGAACCTCCGGCCACTCATGGCGCCGCATGACCACGGCCTGCACGCGCGCCCACAGCCTGAGCGCCTCTCACTCGCTGCCGCCCGCCCTCCCTCCTTCTACCTACTGCTACCCCCATTACGCGGGCATGCGCGCGACGGTCGACATGGCTCTGCACCTGACCTTGGGCTGGCCCGGACCCTGACGTCCTGCGCCTGTCCAGGCCAATGTACTGACGCTTCACACCTACCTACATCCATACTCTACATGTCCACATGGTACATGTCTGCTCTGTCGACGCTGCGCCCTCCCCTCCACAACTCGTTACGCATGACGGCATCCTGCGGCTGCCCTCGCCTGCCCCCCTAGACTCGCTTTGGTCTAATCCCCAAGCTACTGCCCCGGGTAGCCATGTCGCCGTTGCAATTCACTCTTGTCGATGCTGCAGAGCCCTACCCAGCCTCGGCCTCTGACGTTGCATCGCACCCAGTGGCAATCGACTCGGCCTCGCTCGTGGCAGATCTGCACCCGACAGCACGCTGGTGGAGTAGCCCGACTACCGTGGCGAAGCCATTTACGTCAATCGAAGGATTGTAGAAGAAACAAGCCTGGCGGAGCGTGAACTGCTGCATGCGCAAGCAATGCCAGCCTTGTCCACCGTCGGATGCTGATCGTCGCTAGCCGTCAAGCACCACGTGACCATCCGCTGCTGACTCCACATGCCACTCGATCTGCACACATACACACATCCCTTTTACTAAGTACTTACTTATGTACTAGTAGTGTATATACGTCCCTGCGCCTCCTTGCACGCCCCCAGCCTCCATCCATGATTCACCTCTCCAGCCATATCCTGAGCACACTTGCAGGACGCAAAGTCCACTGGCCCACACAACACCCTGGCTGCAACAATGCAACTTGGTTCGCCTAAGCAGAGTGATACCATTGCAGCCACACTATTGGACGCGCTACCATTGGTCCGGCAACAGCTCGCCTATCACGTGACACATCCTTCCCATACTGGCCTCCATGTCTACCGCATCGCCCTGCCATGTTTGCATCCACCAATCCAATAGCGCATCCCCACTACTCTTGTCGTTTTCGCTGCTGTTGCATTGCGACCATACCGTGTTCCACCGCACGCATACATATGACGTGCCTCTCTTGTGAAACACTCGGGACCTCTACAGCACCGCTCGCAGACATGATGCCGACCGGCATGCCAGCCAGTACGTGCAGCCACTCGATGACGAACGCCTGCTTCCTTCACCCTGCTGTCCAGCGGCTGCCCGGGTAGCTCTATAGAGCAATCCCGATGCACTTCCCCAGACACTTTGCCGCTCGCGCTGCATCTAGAGGTATGCGAACCGCCACGACTTGCGCCATCAAGCTCCACCTATCATGCTGTTGAACGCAGGGAAGTGTGAGGCGTTACGTGCAGGTGAAGCAAGGCGTAAGTTGCTGTTCGGAGCAACAGGAGCGAAATCCGGCTTGCTAGGACAACAAGCACAACCCGTTCGACAACGTACATACATACACGTTAGCACCAATACCAAGTTTGTCGCTGTGTACACTGTCGACACATTGCTCTTGCTCAACCTCTCTCTGCACCTGCTGCATAGAGTGCATCCACCTCGTAGTGGGACCATTTCATCCGGCTATATCCAAGCAGACGGCAATGGCCCGCAATGGCAGCAAACTAGAAACTGGAGCCACCAGTCCACCTCCACAAACAGGCCATCTGGACCTCAGTGTTAATAACCCAAATATAACGCAAAAGATGCTGACGCCGAGCACCCAACACGCTGCACAAGCACCAGGATAGCTAGATCTGGTGGATATTGACGCGCCACTGAAGCTAAGCTAAGGTGCAGTAGTCTGCGTCTCACGTGCATGCTAGCTGTGTACCTCGCCGCCTCCAATGGCGACCCACTACTGCTACGTAACTGGAGCTCCGCAACCCTTTGAAGCTGTTGGAGCATGTTTTGACAAGTCATTCCCGTTTCTTCCCGCCGTGCTTGCCACATTACAACGAGTCAGCACCATCACCACATTGCGCCACGCAAACCGCCGTGGTTAGCAGGTGATCTTCAGCCCGTTGGCGGCACTTGTCAACCCTCCAGCAAAAGCCTAGACAATGGAGCACTACCGCTTACCCTATGGTTGCTATTCTCCGATAGGTTGAAACTGCTCCCTATCTTCCGCGAGAGCCGGTTCATGTAACTTGTCTTAAGTCCGGAAGGCTGCGGTACTTGTCACATTTCTTGTTTTGGATTAGCTGCCGGGCTTGCAATCACCCGGGTCCGAGATAGGGTTCACGGTACCAAACATCGAGTGAGAAAATCATCACCTAGCACGTTTCCTTGGCCCGTCATCTCCATCGGGGCTTTTGCTTAGAATCCAGGCACATCGGTAATTACCTCTTTTCGATACACGTGCCCGGCTCGGTAATGAAGGTAAGGTCCCAGGGTTTCACAACAGCGTGACTAGTTGTTATGAGTAAAGCGACTGACTTTGTGAAAGGGAAAAGAAGAGAGAAGAAGAAAATAAAAAGCACCACTACTATTACTGGTACTTGAACCGTCTCCGCGGCTTAGCTAACGTGCAGAAAAAGTCATGTTCTTTTGTTTTTCTCCTCAATACGCTATTGGTCATAGTATACTATGGCCGCTTCCAGTTCGCGGACCCCCATTCAGCGTAACATTCTTACAACCGTTGAATTCCGCCCTTGGAGCACCCTCCCTCCCTCCCCCGTTCTCGAAGACCCACACACGATCCTTAGATAATTTTTACCCTTCATAAAAGGCGGCAGCGTACGGGAACATCGGTGCTAACCTGCAGACCCAACAAAGCAATGCTACCGTTGTCGGCAGAAGCCCCGTTTGCTCCTAGGCGCGCCGCCTCCCTTCACCATGGGAGATCTCCACTACAAGGTACCCACTCAATCTATACTAGGAAGAGACCAAGACAAAGCCACGGCTCAACAGCGGCAGATGCCCACTTACTAACCGTTCCTCGGGGATCCCTAGCCATGCGGGTCTGTTTCTAACGTGTGGGTTTTCTTCTCTTTGCGTGTATGCTCAGCCCTTTTTCGTTTTGGTCTTGATACTGTTGAATCGGCCGTCGCTACACCCAGCGCCCAACGTGTCACGGCTCTATTTTCAACCACCTCGTCTCGCCACACCCTTTCTTCGTTACATCTGTTCCCGTATTTTCTACGACCGATAAGCAAGTGGCAACTAACCATATATATTTTTTATTAGCAACAAGAAACGAAGAAGAAAAAAACTTCGAATGCGAATGACGTCTTCTAACCAAAGCCCGCTCAGCAAACTGCAGCCAGTCCCCCTTGCCACCCTATCCCCCATACACAAAAAACTCCTTTCTTGGCGAACCGCCCGCGAGGTTACGTATGCCCGCTGACGTAAACACCAGACTACTTTTGGCTTTTCCTAGCACACCACCCACACCCTCTTCTTTTTTTTTGCCTTCGCGGTCTTTCTTTCTTGCGGCAACGGGCCGGGGTGGAAGCTAACGAAAGCCCCCAGAAAAAAAGAGGTCGAGACATTTTTGAACGGGTAAGAAAATGAACTCGGTTACAAGCAACCGTCTTGTGTTATATGGTCATTTCGGAACACCAAGCCCTGCTTGCATCGAATGTATAACAGGGGCCTTGTATCGAAACAACTCGTAAGACTTGTAGTGAGCGGTGCAAATACTACTTACGTACGGGGTTTGGGTGGCCCACCATCATCATTCCTCAGTGTGTGCCAACAGAGGGGTGTACAAGGTCCAGGTACCCGGGCTTCTTTCCCCCCCCCCTTAGCAGCAGCATAATCAAAATAAAGTGATGAATCAACCATTTATCCTCCATTCAACAAGACAATACATTCATCCTTCACCGCCGCATCCCGCATGCGTGATTTTTTTCCTGCGTTTTCTCTCTCTCTCATCGAGATCCTGAGGTTCGATGAGGCAGGGAGTAGCTGGTCAGACGGGAGGTGAGACTGCGGTGCTACTTTTCTGTGCTTAAGTGACAGTGGTCGGGGGCTTGGGAGAATGTGAGAGAGCAGAAAAGGGAGATCAGGGAAGGGCGCGGGTAGAGGATTAGAGGGAAATATATTACGGACGTGGCTTGTTTAGCTTTACCTTGGAAAAATGCTCATA